TATTATGTAATAATAACTGTATACGATCATATGCAAATAAAAATTCGACAAATATTAGTTWAAAAAAAAAAAAAATGGTRTTTCTTAAACATTTATTCGGAATATTAACACTTCAAACTGGTACAATTATATCGAGTTCGCTATTTATCGTGAGAAACAAGAAATTAATAACTGCTTACTTTAATAATGACTTAATTCAATGTTTTCAGACGCTGGCTATTTGTGTTTTATTAGTGAATGCATTGGCACTCGACACAGAAGCGCCACGTATGAAATATTATTATTATTATTTTATTAAGTTATAAAAAATATACATGTATTTGCATACTTATTTTATCTAGCTATGTAAATAAATAATAGTAGGCATGTTAGTATTGATAATAATTAAAATATAGTAATTTCTATCAATAATATTTGTTTATAGTAGCCTGGATTGTTATTTTCCTGTTCATTGGTTATATGATCGTGATTTGGTTAATATCTTTTTATGGTGCATACCAAGTAACTGTTTAAAAACTTAAACTGCTTATAGAAATGTAATAATTTACTGAAATCTATAGGAATCTCAAAATGGAATTACCGTAGCAACTATTTTGTGGACAATTTATATAATAATATGGCTAAAATTGGTTATATTTTCCTATATAGATGCAAAGTTAAGTAAAACGGTTTTAGTTATCGTTGAATTTTCAATAATACTAAAAATAAAGTCTATTTTTATAGGTCTATATGTCTTGAAAATAGATGCCCTGATGTGATATGGCTATTAAGCAACCCGTGGCATGAAAAACAGAAAGAATGTAATGAGGTTTTTCCAAATTCATCGACAAATAATTCACGATCCTTATATGAAAAAAATAAGAAACCTCAAATGTATGACGGTAGGATAAAMATTGAGAAAAAAAGAGAAAAAAAACATAATATAACTACAGTTTCACATAATGTGACAATATCATCTGTGGTATTTGACAAATACGAAAATCGGTCTGAAATCAAAACCAATGAAGTAAAATTAGTGCTTAAAAAATGTAATGAAACACCTTTAGTACGATATAACCAAGGGAGTATGATTGTATCTATAATAGTGTTCTTACTATATCTACGTAAGTATTAAGATTCTTATATGCCATATTTTTAGTTTATAAAATAAAAAAACAATATATTTTTGATTTACAGTATTATTACTTTTTTCTTGGCTGATTTTAATTAGTTATCGAGAAGAAATCATACTACAGACAAATCTTACAAACAACAATTAGTAATATTTGGAAGATTTTCGTTTAAATCATAATAAATTATTATAAATTATTTTGTTTAGATTATTTACATTTTAATATTAAATTATATTTTATTTATTTATTAAATGCAATACATTAAATGACTTACTGTGGTGATATATAAATATAYAAACAAGAACCAAAAACCAATGTTTTTACTATAGGTACGTTGTTAAACAGGTGAATTTTTTTTAATTTTGAGGCATCTAAGACATCATAAAGCTAGCGGCTTATTAGTTATTTAATGATTTGTTTTAGGGGTCATAGTTATAGTCCACGATAAAAGTTTTTAAAAAAGGCGACTATGAAGATCTTAAGAWTTTATCAAATTATATTAATCTATCCACATTTTATAATAGTTTGTGAAAATCGGCCAAGTACATTAAGTACTAAATTACATTATGTCTATTTTATATTTTACATAAATACATAAGCTTAATAACTTAGAAATTGTTAGGTTCAAATTCTGTAAGCCGCAGCACACAGCCCACAGGGAAATTATTTAATTAAAATAATAAAAATGCAAAATGTATAACAAATATAAAACTATGATATTAAAGACTGAAGTATACTTAACAATTTTAAACAATAAATGCATTTTTAAATGTTAAAAAGGGATGAACATGATCATAATAAAATGCTAAATGCAAACAATATTATTTAGTAATGTCAAATGATTCACYAAAATAGATAATCTTCTGAAAAATGTATCTGACTATAAATTAGCGTTTTATTCTATCGTAWATATATGAGATGACATAGTCATTATAAAAAAATATAATATCTCTTTAATTATAAACATTTTTTGATTTATATTGATTAGATATTGTAATTTTGAATGGCATTTAATTACGAAACATTATTGTATTTTTTTTTTATATTTGTCTGAACTCCTTTGAGAGGTAAATATTCTAGTGTAGCAATATTACTATAGGTAAATTTCTTACTTATAAAATTAATAATAAAAAGAAATATTAAGATGGATGTTGATAAGTAATAACTCATATCAATATAATATTTTGGTTTTMTAATAGTTTTATTAATTAATGGAATTCTTAGACTAAATAATACAATTTGAACTAACTGCATATTTTTAGCAACTTAGTGAATTCGAATTTTYCACAATTACTGTCATCTTTCATGACAAAAACCTTAAATCTGCAAACTGTGTAAAAGTTATTCTGTATAATAAATCTGATTTAAGACATAATATACCTAATAAATAATTTTTATTGTTATTATTATTATCCCGTTTGAATGTTTAGGTAGTGAGATTTAGTATTAACAAATTGTGTTAAAAAAATGAAAGTGTTAACAATCCATARCAGCTCAATTTTTGGCGATAAAAATTGAAGAGCTTTTTATGAACTTTTATACCTAGTTTTACTTTTACAGAATCGAAAACTTAAGCATTATAATTACTTAACGCAGTTGTTTAGTGAAGCATTATTTTACCTACTTTAATAATWATTATTATTATAACCATCCGTTACATTATGTATAAATTATTAAGTGATAAAAATTTAACTTAAAATGGAATAATGTTATTACTTGAGGTAATTTTTAACGAAACATGACCATCAATTAATTTTAACGATTAAAATTATACAAAAAAAACTAAGTCATGTAATACAGTATATTTAATTCAATTATTACCATTGGAGTTCTTTAATTCTATTTATTCATCTATGCGATTCTTTGAGAATAGGTCAGTTGATATGTCAATCGTGACGTCAAATGACGCATTTTTTGCATTTAATATGTACTGAGAATAGTCAGTACTTATAGAGGTACTTATAAATAGTTTTTTTT